CCCCGGGTATGCGTGGTTTTTACGTGTAGGTGGTTAAAAGTTTTGGCTGGGGAATTGCTCATTAAACAGCCAGGTCATTTTCATAGAACGACCGTTCGACGGAAACTGTACATTTTTCTTTGCGCAAAACTTACGATAATTTACGCTAGAAAGCACACAAGGTGAGCGTGAAGCAACAGCCATTTATACAGTTAATGACTTGACTGCTTCAGGTTTAGTACAAAAACGCATGTTTGCGTCGGCAAACCTGGTGCTTTCCAGCCTAGAGTTCGTGCCTGTCTCTTGCCGATGACAGTACGTGTTCTCTACTATTTGGTACTTTTGCATAAACTTCATTTTTCTTCCTTTTATATGTGAGCTCACTTAAAAGCTGAGCCAACTGCAAGCGTATAATATTTGTGAGAACAAATAGTTGAATTATTTCGCTGTCCATAAGATATCCTTCCGTCTAACCGTCTGCGAGATGTTTTCCGCTGCGCAGAGAAGGTTTTCAGGAGAACAGTTGTAAGCTTGCTTCAAATCTTCATTAAATCTACGTTTATGTGGCTGTTGAAAAAAAGTTGTGTTTGACTTTGCTAAAAAGGCTATTTGACATATGGCGGGATCAATTTCTGATATATGTTATTGAACTAGAAATTCACTCTCGGTTTCTACTTGTCTTTTTCCCGAATTCTTATTAAGGATCACTTTTATGTGTGAAAACTCACTGGGCGGTAGACTAAAATGTCTCGCAGTCTTCAGCAACGTCTTTTCAGAGTCGTAGTACCATTTAAACCACACTCTGATGCTTTTGTATCTTTTTTTTTAGTGAGTACCATAACACCTAGTGAATGCAGCTTCGACCTCACCGAGAGTTAGAACAGGCAATAGAATGAAATTCTCTTGGCGACAGCGACTGAAGGCAGTTCTTCATAAAAGTTTTTGCAATTTTCTCCCATGTACTTCCGCTTTGTTGTGCAGCAGCGGTTTGCATTAACTTCCAGATGCGACTGGGACCTGCAGAAGCATATGCATTTGCCACATTCTTTTTGTGGTGATTTATTTATTTTTTGTTTTCCGTAGCTTCTCACTGCTATAATTCTCCCTCTCCATACTACTTCCTTTGTGCGATCCCATACTCTCAGGCTAGTGTCACCTGCGGTTGCAACCGTATTTTCTTCTTA